TTAGAAGCAGGTAGTAGGGAGGGGTTGAGAGTAAAGGCATAAAACATGATTAATATGGACATGTTTTACATAACTTCACATGTATAATCAGTATCATATTGCTTGCCTTCTCAATAGGAAAGGGAATAGCTTGAGGGAGGGAGAGATTTGGAACTCAGAATTTTTAAAAATGGTTGTAAAAAAATAAAACTGGCACAAATAATTTTAAAAGAAAAAATTGTTTAAAGAGTAAAGGCATAAGTAAGGACATGTGTCTTGGCTTTTGGCTCTGGCATGTAGGTAATTTCAAGAAGACTATGAACCCCAGTATGTGAACATTACATTGTTTCAAACAGCATGAATGAGATGACATGGTATAGTGAAAAAGAACACTTAAATACTAGCTGTGTGCCCTTGGGCAAGTCACAGCCCTTGTGCCTCAGTTTCCTCATCTGTAAAATTGGGATAATAATAGAGGGTTGTTTTGGGGAACAAACAAGATAATGTGGGTAAATTACTTTGCAAGACATAAAATCATCATCATTAACCTCATTCTTATTATCACCATCATTATCTATGAATAGAAGTTGAGACACAGGTTTGAGTCCTGGGTCTGCTATTAACTATGTAGGTCATATTGAACAAATCTTTTCACCTGTCAAGGCCTCAGTTTCCTTATCTGTAAAATGGAGTAATCGGTCTGGATGATCTCTTCCAACCTGAGCATTCTATGAACAAATGCATCTTACAAGGAGTTTTTCACTTAAGAATCTGTCATCAATTCTCATCTCAAATGAATCATGGATATCTGAGAAAAACAGTGAATGGGCTCAAACCAGAACTTTCTCTATGCTACATTTATAGTTTCTACCTGACAAAGTGAACTGGTACTGAAGTTCTGAGGAATGATATGCTGTGCTAACACAATGAGATTGATGTGCTAACATCATGGGGTATGCTGTGTCATTGGATTGAGGCAAGAAGCCCAGAAAAAGAAGAATGAACAGTGGTGTGCTGAAAACAAGCGCTCAATATTTTGGAGATTGTCCAAGAAAAGATTTACATATTTCCTTAAAAAAGGAGTGAGAAGAAATAGAGAGAAGAGAGAAGGGGAAGAAGAAAGAGGGGAAAAATAAGGAAGAGATGAAGGGAGAGAGAAATTATTAGTTTACCCAGGAATCTGAAGTCCTTTTCAGCATCCTCAGGGAACAATGTGTTGTTTTGAGCAAATTTTACTTTATAATTGCATTCCATTTTTTTCAGCTGAGATAGAACAAAGCATTCTCAAAACATAAGCACAAAAGCTGTAGTTCTCTTAAGTGGACAAAACATGTGATAAGAATGGATGGCAAACTGAGTGCAGAGGTACATGTCTTATCCCTGCTACCAGGAAAATTGAGGCTGGTAGATCTCTTGAGTTTAGGTCTGAGTTACAGTAGGCTAAGCCAGTGGGTATATGCACTAGATTAAGCATTAATATGGTGATTCTCCCCTCCCCCAGGAGTTTGAGGGAGGGGTTGCTTAAGCAGAAGAAGAAGAGGAAGAGGAAGAGGAAGAAGAAGAAGAAGAAGAAGAAGAAGAAGAAGAAGAAGAAGAAGAAGAAGAAGAAGAAGAAGAAATGACATAAGGATTTCCACAGTATTTGCTGTTCAACTAACATAAAGAACCAAATTCTTCACTCTCCTGAGGTACTCTTTGGGAGTTAGATCTATGTGACCACCATTGAATCTGATCAGCAAGATGGAGTTGGTGCCACACAAGAATATGTTAAGGGTGTTGGGATTTGCATCCTCTCAATTCGTGGTGGCAGGGTCTATAAGTGAGCCAGAGTAAGTTATTTTTATTCACAACCAACCTAATATAGCTTTATTTCCATCTCACAAAATGAGGTAGAGCAAGAAAATCCTAGAATCTTTAAGTTAGAAGTAACCTTAAAGGATATCTAGTGTCTAACCTCTTCCCCCTTCCCTGCCCACCTAATGCAGGAATCCGTTCTGATGCATTTCTGGCAGATGGTCCTCCAGCCTCTGTCTGAACACCTCCTAAGGCAGCCAGCCCATTCTGCTGATGGACAGCTCTAATGATTAGAAACTTGTTTCTTATGGTGGGTTGAAATCTGTCTTTTTGTAAATTCCACCCACTGAAATAATGCAGTTGCCTTAGCTTTTTAGTTGCAATATCTTTCAGGTGAGATCTTACTGTAAATAACTGGGATACTTTTCTCACTAGAAACCAATTTTACTTAGTACATTTCTACCATGTCGAATTACTACTATTTATTCAGAGATGATTTGTGGAGACCACTTGGAAGTTTCTTCAGGTGCAGAAAACAGCAGACCGCATTTTGTGTGTTGTTTTTAAAATCCATATCACTGTTCTGCAGTCTATGTAGGCTTCCTATATTCTTTTTGAGTCAAGATCTTTCTTAAGTTTCTCTAAGCTTTGCACTGTATTTTAAGATCTTTGAAGAGACAGGGACACTTTTATCATCCCCATACTACCTGGAATGGTGCTAGGCATATAGTAGTGCTGACTGGATGAATAATCTTCTCCTATATGTTATCATGGCAAAATCAACTAAACCACTGTTGACCCAGTTGCTATCCAAGCAACTGTTTGCAAAGGCAGTGAAGTGCCATTGCAATACAAAAGGTGCTGGGTTTGGAATCAGAGGACCTAAGTGCTAATCTCAATTTTGCCTTCAAGTTGGATTGTAACTCAATCTCAATTTTAAACTTAAGATTGAACCAGGACTCCAAGAAAGTCACTTAACCTCTCTGAAATTCCTCAGTTTCTTCATCTGAAATGATGATCCCTAAGGTCTCTAGCAGCTCTATCTATGAGTTCTAACCAAGAATAAAACCCCAAACTTCAAAATTTATTTGTTCTGGTTTATCCTTCTGAGGAGCTGATGAGTCATGTGAGTGGGAAAGGGCTCATGATCTCGAGTACAGCACCTCTACCCAGGCGAACAAGAATCAGAGTTCGAAGAGCTAGACAAAAGGTAGACAAGGCAGCTGCCAGGGCTAGTTACCTGTGTGCAAGGAAAGAACAAATCAGAGGAAGAAGCTAGGGACTTGAAATCCAGTCTCACTCAGACTCACCTAGAAAAGTACAAGCTCTCACTGGCATGTTTGCCATAGATGTTTCTAGGAATTGGGAAAAGAAAGATAAATCCCTCCCCCCAAAAAAGTGTAAGACAAGGCTGTACAACTCTCAGCTGCACGTTGGAAGGGGGGGGGAAGAGGGAAGGAGAAAGAAAGGAAGATACTACTCCTTTAAAGCCTACTGAGTAGGTGGTTACTACTCCTTGATCACATATCATTTTTGCCACAGTTACCAGTTATAGGGACCATAGGGACCAGTAAGGTATCATTGTGTGTTATCCCAAAGTTCAAATCTACAGGCACCAACAAAAAAGTGTGCTGTGTCATCCCCAAATTCAAGTCCTTCAGCACTAAGCCAGAGCACATGTCACTCCCCACAGAACAAGAGCATACATGGCCAGCTCCATGATGGGAAGTTCCCCATTCCAGCAGACTCTGCATTCTATTATACGTGAAAAACTGAGAGTAACTAGAACTCCAGAAACATGGAAGTCAAGTGTGAAGTGGGATAATGAGTCTTCTAACTTACCATTGGATTCCTAGCATTTGAAAATCAAATCTAGGTGGATTTTCTAGGTCTTAGTATCTCAAATCTAGCATGACCAGTTTCAATGTAAACAAAGCACTAGGAATAGTCTAGGACTGATGTCAATGTAAACAGGATATAGCACTGCCACTATTGCTATTTCCCCCTCATTTATGACATTGAACTCAACCATACTTAGTGAATACCTACCAAAAATAAGGCACAGCACTGGGGGATATGGAAGATACAAAGAAGAATAAGACATGATCTCTGAAATCTAGTAGACGAGAATAAAGACATATAGTAGATTGGGACCAGAGCATATTTTGTATGTCTGACTTTTGAGTTTGAACTTTATTTTATAGGAAATAGAGAGATACTAAAAGTTTTGAACAGGGAAAACACATTATCAGAACTATGCTTCTTTAGGAAGAGCTGGTGTCATATTGTAGAGGAGTAATAGAAATAGAGTCAGAGGACCCAAGTTCAAATCCAAGCCCTGTCACTGATTACCTGTGTCAAAGTAATTAACCTGGATAAGCTACTTAACCTCTTTGGGTCTCAGTTTCTTCATCTGTTATATGACAGGGTGGAATAAGACGTCCCCTAAAGTCCCTCCTGGTTTTTTTTTTTTATGTTAGGCAATGGGGTTAAGTAACTTGCCCAGGGTCACACAGCTAGTAAGTGTTATGTGTCTGAGGCTGGATTTGAACTCAGGCCCTCCTGAATCCAAGGCCAGTGCTCTATCCACTGTGCCATCTAGCTGCCCCAAGTCCCTTCTGTTTTTAAAACCTATTATTATCTAAGATCATTTTAGCAGTGGCATATAGAATGGACTGGAGAAGGAAAAGAATGGAAAGAGACAACTAGGAACCACTGTAATAGTCCTAATAAGAGGTAATAAGGGACTAGATGATGAGGGGAGAAGAAATGGAAAGAAGGCTTCGGTTTCAGGTGACATTGCTGAGGTCATACTAGCTGAATTTGACAACTGATTCAATGTGGTATCATGGGGAAGAGGGAGAAATCAGAGATAGCTCCAAAGTTTTAAGCCTGACCGACTGGGTGTCTTTAGAAAAAATAGGGAACTCATAAGGAAACACTGGGATTTTTGGAGATAAACTCAGCTTTGTTTTGAACATCTTGAATTTTGGGGGTCAACATGACATCTAGGAGAAGATACCCAGCAGGCAGCTGAAAATCACAAACTCATTGAGTTTTAGAGTTAGAAGTGATTTTGACTAAGGAGAGAGTGATGCTGAGGACTGTGATTTAAGAGTCACCAGCAGAGGTGAGAGTGGTTGATTCCACCAAGGGAAAGTATAAAAAATTTTAAAAAAAGGGTTACCCAATGGTACGTGTCAGTGGGCAGATGCTCCTATACCTACCAGGAGAGTCTAACCCTTGTTGTCCTCACACGGTGAGACACATTCCTTTGCTCTGGAGTTTACTTCTTTTCTGAGCTGCAGTCAAGAAGAGATCACTGTTAAGAACCTACCTTAGCTTTAGTGACTTCTAACCATCACCAAATTGGAATTGGGAATCATTGTACCAAAAGATGACAACCTAGTTGTTAAGGGCAATTGTTCTCCAATTACAATTAGACCCTGGTGACACATGGGAAAATTACCTGGAATTTTAGGATCTGTGGCTGAGAGGAGAAGATAAGCCCTCATTCATTTGGGTTAGCATTCAAAGCACAAGCACAGAGAACTACTGTTTTTCTCCTCTATTAGCTGGAGCTTTAAAAAAAAAGTTTATCACAGTTGAAATAATAACTCAGCAACCTATTGTATAGTTTATGAAACTCATGCAATTTTGGACAAGGAGTTGGAAAAAATGCCCACATAGAAATGTCACAGGGAGGAGGCTAGAGAAAGCCCATATGGAAATGTCATGTTTGGGAAATTCTGCTGACTTATACTTAATGTTCCCAGACCTTCTCCCCAAAGGGTAAAATTTTGAAAGTACACACTAAAGTATAACTCTTCAACTGATTTTACAAAATGTTGTCAGGCAATTTTCAGATAATATTTTTCAAAAATTGTTTCTGCCACTCATGTTAAGGTTTGCCCTTCACTTTCTTAAGGGATTCAGCCAAGCAACACATTGTGAGAGGAATACAGCTTCTTTACCTTTAAAATGTTATGGATGCTGTGGCTATTGATAGAAAACCTTCTTATCTGGTCTCCAAAGCTGTGCCTCCTCTCTTTCTTTCATTATGAAGACCCAGTGGATTGCTTACTTAGCATCCACCAGAGGCTATGGATAGGGTGAGCAGTCACTGCAGCCAGAATTTCTCAGTCAAGATCGCATGCAATTATACTCAACATGCAGATCCTTTGGAGCTGAACTGTGCTGGATCCAGCAACTCTCCAGCTGACAGAGCCATGTGGGGCTTGGGAGAAGAGCCACTTACACACAGCTAAGAAAGCATTGCAGTAAGTGACTGGGATACTGCAGCAGGCACCGGCTGTTTCCTTGGGTTGGTTAGGGATGAATGCCTTGAAGCTCTGTGGGGTTAGCCAGACAGGGGCTAGAGAAGAGAGAGGTCGGGCAAGGGGGCATCGTCAGCCAGAGCTTTGGCCATTTCTCCTTGATCTGAATTTGGGGAAGGACCTGTGCTGAGGTTCTGGGAGCCTTGGGCATCTCCAGCTACATTTGCCTGTGTATTGCAGAGGAAGGGTTGTGCTGGCTGGTCCTGTTCTGAACAAGAACTGTTAGGTCTGTAGCTCTCTCTAGTTATTTCTTAGTCTCTCTGGTAGTTAACTCTGTGTGTGTGTGTGTGTGTGTGTGTGTGTGTGTGTGTGTGTACATGTGCTGTGTAGAATTGTCTGCTGTGATAAGATGACCAGACTGCCCACTGACACTGATTATTTACTATGCGTTATAATCCATTGTGCAAACTATTTTTCATACCAGTAGTCTGGCACTGAAATGTACTCTGTACACTGCAAATGAAAAGCAGTAGGCAGCCAGCTCAGCTATCTGTAGTGTGAATAACTTCATATAGGTGCTGGACATGTAACAAACAGTATCTGTACTCACTTGGCTGCACCAGGATCAGGTTTAGCTTTCTAGCTTTCTGTGGGAAGGGATCTAGGCTGCCTCTATGGTAGCCTTTGTTCTAAGGGTTAAATGTTAGAAAGAAGCACTTTTTTTTTTTTTGCACCAGCCCTGTATTCTGACACTTTGGTAAGCTGTTCTGACTGGGCACTTTAGAAACAAAGTTGGAACTTTGTTAAAGCTCTCATTTATTTGTAATTAACCTAAAGCACTTCAAGTTTGCCTTGTAACAGATACAAGATTACTCCCTTTTGAAAATCTGTAGACTTCACTTAGTTTTCTGAATGTAGTCCCCCTCCACTCCAGTATAAATGAGTTCATCTTCTAAAACAAAGTTTTCAAGATGCTGGGAGGGCCAGGGATCTATTGCATTTGCATAATGGCTGTGGGCTATGGAAGTGGACAGCTTATCATTGACTTGGCTGACCACTAGCTTTGATGCCTTCAACACAGCTGCCATTTTGGGGTTTGCAAGCATGGAAATGGAACAAAAGTTGAATATTTTTCTGAGTCCAGTAGAGGTTATGAAATTTTTTTCTTATCTTACTGCTTTTAATACTATCAGGTAGGTTTTTTCCCCCCAGTATTCCCACTGAAGGTCACAATTGCTTTAGCTTTTGCAATAAACTTAAAGTCAAGAGTATAATTTGTATAATTTTATTTTCCCAAAATGGAAAATTCTTTCAGCTAAAAGGCTATTCTTACCTTGTAATCTACACCAAACCTATTCATCTTGGTTCAAGTTCTATGTGTGAGAAAGTTCATGTAGAAGAATGATTTCAGACTTCTTCTGCTGGACTCTAGAAGGCAAAGTTAGGACCAGAAGGTGGAAGTTATAGGGAAGCAAATTTCAGCTCAACATAAGCAAAAAACTTCCTAACAATGACAGTGAAATAGGATGCTGCATTGGGTAGGTACTTGACTGTCACTAGAAGTCTTCAAACAGAAGCTAGATGACCATTTCCTGGTGATGTGGGAGAGACTCATGCTTTGAGTACCGTTTCTCTAAATGACCTCTGAGATACTTTCCTACTCAAAAATGTTTCAATTCCATGATAGTATTCTTTTGGGGATGGGATGAAACTGAGCCTCTGAGTACATTGGTTTTCTCTAGCCCTGGATAAAGTGGAGTGTTATTATAAGTTGTGGAAAGAAAATGAGACCAAGAGAAATAAAAAATCAGGAGAATCAGAGCTTTCCCTTCATGGCCCTGCCTATCATTCTGGCTCAATGGTTATGGTGATTCACCCCCACAACACCAAGGAAAGGCAGAAAACTCTTGCTTTGTTTTTCTCCCTAACTTACTCCTGGCTAGTTATCACCACTGCTGGTCCCGCCACTTTTCTGCATGCTGTTCCTAGGAATATCATAAAGTAATAGAATTATTGCTTCTTATCTAAACGGAGACTTGTACATAGGCACAAGCCCTAAGTAATCTATGTGAGAGAGCTAGTCCCTGGGGAATACAACCTTTTGTTCCCCATCTTGCAGGATAATTTTACTTTTACAGGTTTACATTTGCTAGGAAAACAATAACAGTAATATCTCATATTCATAAAGGGTTTCACAATTGTGAAGCACTTTATAAATGTGTTCTCATTTTATTCTCACCAATAGCTTGGGAGATAGACAGGAAAGTATCACTAGCTCCATTTTACAAATGAGAAAATTGAGGCTTGGGAACCTTAGGCATCTTGCCCAAAGTCACACAGCTAATAAGTGCCCAAGAATGAGGAGTTGAACCCCAGTCTTCTTATTCTTGAGCCACCGTTCTTACCACTGCACCAAATAAACTAACCAGTGATAGGCTCCAATTCAATGTTACCTAATCTTTCTGTTTTTTAATTTCAGCAAAGATTTATTATGGTGTTAGTTTTATTGGACTCTATTGTTGGAGAATTTTTTTTTCTTAAGTTCCTGCTCTTCTTTCTGACCCCTCCCCTCCTCATTTTTCCTTTCTCATTTAAGCAGACGTCGGAAAGCTATCAGAAAGTGATTTGTTAGTCCTTCTGGAAAATTCACTTAGGGTCTGGAACATCATAAGTTTGAAAATCGAGTAGCCATGAATATGATTTATCATTTTAGTTTTGATTAAGGCTGTTTGTAAAGATGTCTTAGTGAACTTATTCAAGACATATGACCCTTATGGAACAAATAGAGGGGAAAAAAACATACACAGTATAAGATTATGTGGAGAACCAAATATAGAGTGAATGAATTTTTATTTGGTCTGAGATGAAAATTTTGGTTAAACCTTTTTATTATTTTAAGAGGGACTTGAATCAGTATTGACTTTTACTGAACTGTAAATTCACCAATCATGATTTCTAATCCAGCTCTAATTATTACCTGTATGTGATTATATATAGGATCAGAGATTTGGAGCTAGAAATGACTTTAGAGATCATTTCACCCACATACCCATTCCACCCCCTCATTTTACATATTTGGAAACCCAATATCCAAGAGAAAGCAATTGGCAGAGAATGGATTTAAACCAAAATCCTCTGGCCCCTAATTCTGCCGCCTTTCTATTCTGCCACATTGCTTTCTAAGACAGACACAAAACAGAGAGGGCTGACCCAGGAGTCAGGAAGACCTGAGTTCGAGTGCTGTTTCTGACACATCCTAGTTGTGCGACCATGGGCAGATCATTTCACCTTTTTGTGCTCCCTGCTCACTCTATAATATAGATTACAAATGAGCTGTAGATCTGCATGGATGGAGAATTTCCTATGCCAACGAAATCACAGGATCACAGTTCTGAGCCAAAAAGTATGGGTATGTATAAATATGAATACAAACGTATATATTTAAGCTGAACTGATGGGTTGTTTTTTGTTTTGTTTTGTTTTGTTTTGTTGGGATAGGGAATTCTCAATGTGGAACTTGCTTTACTGAGAAGTTAAACGACTTCTCCAATGTTACCCAGCTGGTATATGTCAGAGGCACGATTGAACTCAGGTTTTCCTGACTTTAAGTCAGGTTCTTTATCCGATACTCCACACTGCCTTGTACATGTTGGGCTGAACTTGAGATTTCATTGGTATGAGGAGCTCTCAGTGAGGAGATGCCTTCTGTTAAGGGAAGTTTGCAACAGTTTTGCAGTTTATTGTCTTGGAGAGTTGCCCAGGGTATTGGGAAGTGAAATATAACTTGCCCCCAGTCATGCCACCATGCAGTCATGTCATTTGTATATCATTAAATATGCAAAAGGACAGTTAGGTGACACAGTGCATAGAATGCCTGGCCTGGAGTCAGGAAGATTCATCTTCCTGAGTTCAAAGCTGGCCTCAGACACTTACTAACTGGGTGAGTCTGAGCAAGTCACTTCACCCTGTTTGCCTCAGTTTCCTCATCTGCAAAATGAACTGGAGAAGGCAATGGCAAACCATTCCAGTATCTTTGCCGAGAAAACCTCAAATGGGGTCATGAAGAGTTGAAAACAACTGAAATGACTGAACAACAACAAAATATGCAAAGACCATAATTTAGTAGGTAAAATAGTAAGTTTAGACATGACGTAAAATTTAATTATTCATAATGAAAACTCTGACTTTTCTCTGAGCTCAAAATATAGTTGATCATGGCACATTCCTGTCACTTGGGCTTTAAAAGATGTTACACAGACTTAAAATTATGAAAAAACAAACATTTCCAGCTTTAACTTTAATAGTTTAGAAAAAGAGACATTGATCAAAGCAAACTGAGTCACAGACAGAATAACTGCAAATAAAAGTGTGTACATCCCTGGGGCATTTCAGCAATGTTAATAGAAAGAGACATTCCCTTTGAAAATGCCGGCTTGTTGTGCCCAGTCCATCTCTAACTAGTATCTCTACTACCAAACATTCAGACAATACAAAGAATAATTAAATCCGTTAAGAGCCATATGTTTGACAAAGTAATGGCCAGGTTTAGTACGATTTCCATGACTAAAATTCAAACTGAGGGCACTGCAGTGATCTCCAAGAAGAATACGCTTGAGTTCCTCTGTCCTGCTGTAAGAAAAAGGACACTGTTTATAGAATTGTCATTGTGCCAAGAATCTGTGTTTAATTATTCTAATAAGAATTTCAGGCCGATGAAGTATAGTAATGCCTCATTTTTCTGTCTTGATTGAGGAATGAGCTGCTGTACATGAGTAAATATTCTAGACAACTGAAGCTTATCTTTTTAAGTGACAAAATAGTTTTTTTAAAAAGTGTTTTGCAATGGAAATTTTCTTTAAAATTTTCTGAACATTAGCAATGAACATACATGTATATATACATATACACAGATAGATATGTATATATCTGTGTGTGTGTATATATACATATATGTATATTATATATATATATATGTATATATTATATATATATATATATTTTTTTAAAAATTGACCCAAGGGACATCATCATACATAGTTACAGTGGGAAAAATAACTGGATTTGAAGTCAGAAACAGGATTCAAATTCTGACTGCTACCTGCTATCTGAGTAACCATGGACATATCATTTTATGTCTCTGGGTCTTAGTTTCCTCATGTAGAAAATGAGGGGATAAACTTCCTTATTTATCTGTTCTAAAACAGAAAAGAAAAGCAGTTTGATAAATTCTAAATTTTATGTAATCTCACACTATACTGCATTAATATGAATTTTTTTGATATTTAATAAATGCCAAGCACAGTACCCTCAATACTGAATGGGTACTATACTACATCCTATATATTGTACAGTGTACAATGTCTTCAGAGCTCATTGGCCAGTCTGTGTATGGTTATTTGCCTTCTTCCCTAAATAATCCTACTCATAACTTTTCTTTCAAGTTCTCCTACTTACATTTTTTTTTAAAGAATAATTCTCCTGTGTCTTCCTTGTCATTTGCTTCTAGCTTCTTTTGGAATATATTCTGAATCCTCAAATGTTTTCTTCCCCAATCATCTGGTGGAATAGGAAATCTGATAAGTTTGTTATAATTGTGTACCAAAGAAAAGTAAATAGACTCCATGGAAGCTCCCCTATGAGAAAAAGAGTCAAGTTTTTGTTCAAGGAATCTATAGCACCTCTTTTGCTTACTTTAGGGGCCTTTTTTTTTCCTTTCTTATTTCCTGGATCTTGATTGCTTTAAACAATTAAGGTTGCCTGTCTTATAAATGGGCTTTGAATAAGTGCAGTGTATGCAAAACCTCAAAATACTACTTTGTTACAGAATAATGATCTCTTCCACTCTTTCCTACAATGAAAAAGAGGGTTAACCACCTTTTCTTTTCAGATATTGAGAAATCAGATACTTTGGGGGGGGGGGGACTATATGGCTATGTATACTAATGCAATAATATCTGTGTGTGTGTGTGTGTGTGTGTGTGTGTGTGTGTATATACATATATATTGTTGTTGTTCAGTCATTTCAGTCATATCCAACTCTTCATGACTTCATTTGAGGTTTTCTTGGCAAAGATACTGGAGTGCTTTGCCATTTTCTTCTCCTGCTCATTTTACAGATGAGGAAACTAAAGCAAACATGGTTAAGTGACTTGCCCAGCTAGCAAGTATCTGAGTCCAGATTTTAATTCAGGTCTTCCTGTCTCCAGCCTTGACACGCTATCCATTGTGCCACCTAGCTGCCCCCTACATATACATGCATACATATACACACATATACACATTCGCACACAGGGTATAGAAATATATATGTGTGTGGTGTGTGTGTGTGTGTGTATATATATATATATATATACACACACACATACATACATATATGTATATATATATACACACACATA